GAGGGACCTCATTTAGGAATTGAGATAGAGCAGGTTCTCAGGTGATGAGAGGTTCAACCTAGGGGAGGACTGATTTTGGGGTGTTGATAAGTGGGTGAAGAAAAAGGAAATCTCTGTCCAGGGAAGAAGAGGTCTCAGAGGATGGATCGGGGGAGATAAGTGAAGGTTGGTCTCAGAGCACTGGTGAACTGGCAAACTTGGGAGGGCATCTGTTCTTCAGGGTTGTGAGTGAGGTGAAGGGAGGTAGGAGAGAGTACTTGTGATTTCCAGTGGGGTCCTCTAGTGATTGTCTCTTGGCAGAAGTGGTTATCTGGTCTGGAGAGGAAAGTTTCAGGCGAGAGCAGTGGACCCATTGTGGTGGGTCTTGAAAGCGGGCTGCTGTTGGGGTATTGTAAAATCTTGCCCATTTAGGTTTTAAGGATGGCAAGTAAAAGTCCCTAACCAGAACTGATTTGCTAGCCAGGTTGTTTTCATAAGACTGGACAATAGGAGAGGTAGAGTTAAGTTGGCTGCCTGCCAGGTTTCCTCCTGGACCAGTTGGAGGGCAAGGAGGTAACCTTCTGTGGGGCTGACCTCAGGGGCACTGCAGGACCAGAAGGAAAGAATGGCTGTAGAAGAGCTCAAAGGGGCTATAACCTGTGGATTCGCAGCGGGATGCTGTGAGCCTGAAAGGGCCGTAGGGATGAGGGAGGACTAGTCTTTGGAAGCTGTAGGGAGAGTTTGGTTAGTTGTACTTCCATTGGGTTATTTGCTTTTCCTGAGGGTTGGCCCCTATAGGGAGTGCGAAGTTTCCATTGTATCCCCAGGGATTTGGAAACTTTGCAGGTAATTTGTGCCGTACAGGCAGGCCCATTATCTGATTGAATGGAGGTGGGGAGACTGAATTGGGGAATAATATTTGACAGGAGATACTGTATGACTGCTTTAGCCTTTTCAATGGTAGTGGGGAAGGCTTCAATCCATCTTGTGAAAGTTTCTATTCAAAATAAGAGATATTTAAACTTTTTAATTTTTGGCATGTGTGAGAAATCAATCTGCCAGTCTTGGGATGGAGTGAATCCTCAGGCTTGGTGAGGGATGAGGGAGGGAGCCTTACGAGGAGACTGAATGGCGCACCGAGCATTGTGCAGTGATCTGTTTGAGGGTTGTCCTTCACGAGGAGGCTGACATTAGGGGTTTGGGCAAGCAGGTGAGGGGCTTATGACCTATGAAAACTGACATGAAGAGATGAAAGAATCTGGTCAGTTTGGAAAGCAGAAAGGAGGTATGTTTCTTGATCTAGGAACCATCCTTTAGAAGTGGGTAGGGTCTGGTGTTGTAGTTGTTCTTCTGTGGAGTAGTTGAGAGTGATGCCTGCCCAGGGAAAGGTATTGGCCCTAAGTGGCAAGTGGAGTATTGGCAGAGGCAGTGGCCCTCTTTGCTGTCTGGTCTGTGAAAGTATTTCCATGTGCAATGGGGTCTATGGCTCTTTAATGGCCTTTGGCAGTGGATGACTTCTGTCTGGATGGGCAAGAAGGCTGCCTTTGGGAGCTTTTTTAATAAGTTGGAATTTATGATAGAGAATCCCCTTTTGGTGAGAGATCCCTTTCTGTCCAGATTGCTGCATTCCTTTTGCCAGAGTAAGGGTCAGTGCTATGAGTTCAGCCTGTTGTGAGGTGGTGTCTGGAGGAAGAATTTGAGTCTTGATTATTGTGTCTTTGATAACAGTTGCGTATCCTGCCTTTGCTGGTGAAGTAGTGGAGGCCCTGCATGAGCCGCCATCTGTGAACCAAGTACGATGTGATTGGGTATAAGGAGATTTGAGATTTGAAATGTGAGAGAACAGCTTGGTGTGAGATTGTGGGACGGAGGTGCAGTTATGTTCCCAGGAGGGGCAGGATTTGCTATTAGCTTCTTGTAATGAAATTAAGGGTATGCTTGGTTGAAAGCAGGCCCTGGGGTCAGAGTGATGGTAGGGGTTTTGAGGAAAAGGGCATCAAGTTGTATGAGTCGTTGGGCCAAGAGTAAGTAAGGCAGATGGAAGGAGGTGAGGAAAGCTCCAAAGTTATGGGGGAGTGTAGGGATCTGAGCATGGAGGGCAATATTTTGGGCCTCTAGAAGCATGAGTGCTACATGGAGACCATCTCTTGGTGGTGGGGTCTAATTGTAGGGAAAAGAAGGTGATTGGATGGGGCATAGGGCCCCGGCTTAGAATCTCTCCTGCATATTCTTTCATTTCTAAAACGTGTAAGGTAACTGGGGTCTGGAATGGATAGGACTAGAGTTAGCGCCTTTTGTAGTTTTTAGAAAGTCATGTGAGAAAGGCCTTGCGGTATGTGTGGTCCGAGGGATTGTCATGGGTAAGTTCATAGAGAGGCTTGGCCCTGGGATCCAGAGGTTAAAATAGCCTATGATTACCAGGAAAGAGAGGTTATTGGATTATTGTAGGCATCTGATTTTGGGTGATGCAGCATATGTGTTTCGGTGGTAGGAGCTTTGTATTTTGTTACAAGAGAATACCCAGATAAAGGGCTAAGGTTTTATAGATTTGGGCCTTAGAATGGGAAACTTGATATTCTTTACTGTCTAAGTGCTGGAGAAGGGAAAGAGTGTCCTGATGGCAGGACATGGTGGAAGGAGGCATGACCTGCAGAGGAGCAGGTCATTGATGTATTGGAGAAGATAGGAGGTGGTGGGGTGAAAGGAAAGGAGATCATAGGTTAAGACCTGGCTAAAGTAGTTGGACCTGGCTAAAGAGCCTGTCCTTGGGAGAGAACTGACCAGGTAAGTTGTCATTGGTGTGTGTCTGGATCTGTCCATGTGAAGGTGAAGAGCTCCTGTGATTTAGGATGCAGAGGTATGGCAAAGAAACTGTCTTTTTAGACCTAGAATGGCACAGTGGGTAGTAGAATGGGATACAAATAACAGGACAGTGTACGGTTTGGAAGTGATGGGATGGATGAGGAGTACAATCCAGTCGATGGGTTGTAGTACTTGGACCAGGAGATAAGAACAGTCTGACAGCAAGGATGGAGGTGTTAAAGGGAGAGTTGATAGGAATGCAGAGACAGTGGGTGAGAAAGTAAGTGATAATAGGTTTTAGACCTCAGAGGGCTGAGTTGAGAAGGAGATACTTTCTTTGTGTCGGGTATATGGGTATGCGTGATTGTCCTTGAGAGGTTTGAGGAGAAGGGCTCAATGGGTGGCAAGAGCGAGTTGAAGTGTCCTACATGTACAAATTTAGTAATGGTGAGCTGATCTAGGGAGGAAATTTGGAGGTGGATGGGGAGAGTAGAAGAACCATGAGGCAAGGAGATGTGCTGGGAAGAGTCAGAGTGGCTGAGTGTATCAGAATGTTGCTTCTGAGGAGCAGAACAGGACATGTCATAATGACTAGGAAGGCATGGAAAAATATGTGATTTTGTAACTGAAGAAGAGTAGAAGTGTTCTTAGGGGTCTAGTTATGGTGCCATCAATCCCAAAAGAAACATCAGCTAAAAGCAGCTGTCCAGAGAAGGAGGGGAGTGGGAAAGGGGTTGCCCCCGTGTCAATTAAGAATGAAACAACCTTACCATCCACTGTAAGAGTAACCTGAAGTTTGGCCACTCTGATGGTCAGTCATCTGAGGCCTATCCAATCAGACTGAACAGGATGGGAATGTGTGGTGGGGCACCCTGGGAAGAGGCCCTGTGGCATGCCCAGCTGTCGAGAGACAGTCCATCTTCCAGTGAGGGCCTTCATGTATGGGACATGGCTTAGAGGGGGTTCTGGGTTGGGACATTCTATGGCCCAATGGCCAGACTGCTGACACTTGAAACAGGGTCCTGGGTTGGGCAGTCCCCCTTTTTGCTCCTTTGGACCCGTCACTGGTGGTAGAAGCAAGTAACCATAGGTCAGAGATATATTGTTGGTGGGTAGCCTCATCCCTGTTGTTGTAGATCTTAAAGCCCTGGGAGATTAACTCCTGCGGTGCGCTCTGTGGGGTCCCATATATCCAGGCATTTTTTTTTTTTTGCTGTCTGCAATTCCCCCCACTGTGTACCTCCTGTGACCCCACCAAACTCTACTCCTCTCCACACCTTCTCCCACCCCCTCTCCAGCTCCTCCAGACTATAACTCAGTCTTTGCTAGAGATCCCTGTCTTAGTTTTTTGAAGTTTTTTTTTCATGTCAGGAGCTGATTGCTGAAGTGTATCTTTAGGATTAGATGTCCCACTGGGCGGTCTGGGCTGAGGGTAGTGTACTTTCTGAGGGTGGCCACCAGTCAGGACATAAACTGAGCTGGATTTTCTTCTTTAGTTTGGATCAGCTCTTTGCATTTGTCATAATTAATCTATTTATGTAGTTCCTGTTTTAGTCCCTCAGCAAGGCAGGTAATCAGGTAATCTTGTGATCTTTTTGGTGGACAGAGGCCTTGTCCATCTCTGAAGTTGAAGTCCCATTATGGTCTGGTTCAAGGGACAGCCATAGCACTGTCCGACAAGAGGATCTTGGTGTGGCAGCGGTCATCAGCATAAGCTTGAGCCATGGCATAGACTTGTTCTTATCCATGGGAGAGAGAGCAGAGGTTAGAGTGACAGTAGTATCATGCCAAGTGAGGTCATAGGTGTGGGCTAGATATTCGAACTCTAGAATGTAGGTGCAGGAGTCTGAAAGGAAGGAACCAAGGCAGTGATTGATTTGAGAGAGTTCTGTGAGAGAGAGAGGACATAGATCTGGTCAATGCTCTTGAGTCTGGCAACTTTGCAAAGGGGAAATTGGCGGGGCGGGGGGAGGCCAGATCATGTATGAGAGGGAGTAAACTATTTGCATCTGGAGGTTGTTGTTGAGGAGAAACAGGAGGAGTAGTGGGAGGTGAGGGAGAAGGTGAGAGATTTGGAGGCAGTACCAGTGTGGCTGAAGGAGCTACAGGAAGGGGCAGGGGACTGGCAAGTGGAGGTGGGTGGGGTGGTGGTGGGTGGGGTGGTGGAGCCAGAGAAGAGGGATCTGTAGTGAAGACTGAGTTATAGTCTGGGGGAGCTGGAGAGGGGGCATGAGAAGGTGTGGAGAGGAGCAGAAGTTTGGTGGGGTCACGGGAGGCACACAGTGAGGGGAATTGCAGACAACAACAACAACAAAATGCCTGGACATAGAGGACCTCAGACCACTTACCCCACCCGTGGCAGTAATTGTCAAGATCCTGGAAGATTAAAAAATCAAATGTCCCATTAACTGGCTATTGGGACTGATTGTCCAGCTGGCCAGGCCATATTGCAGAAAAGGATAAGGTGCTTTAGCTTCAGGTTGGGAGTGAAATGGAGAGACGTGGGAGCCTTGAGAATGCAAGGCAGGGAAGAGGAAGCAGGGATGGAGAGAGGTAACTTTCCCATGATGACGCAAGACTGCCTTTGAACAGGGGCAGCTCAAGAAAAGGAGGCGCATCTCCTATCAGTTTCCTGAGGTCAAAGACAGTAGACCAAAGCAGGTGTCTCCAGGGCTGGGAGGCATCAGGGGAGCTGGCTGTCTGCAGGGGCTGAGTTTGATCAGGCCTGGATTTTCCTGCAGTACACCTCTTGACTGGGTCTTGAGGGCTAACAAGGGTGAGGAGGGAGGCAAGGAGCAACAGCGGGGAAGGTAAAACCTCACTCACCCAACCTGAAGGGAAGATCCAGACTAGCAGCCAGTCGAGGCAGAGTGGGGGTCACAGGGCCATGTCAGCAGTGAGCTCTGTTTGCCTAGGCAGGGTTCGAGGAAGGGAGGTCAGACCCTCGGAGTAGGGGACCTCATTACCCTCCTCACATGAGTGAAACCGAGGCATGCCTGAGACCACCGAGGCAGGCGGGGTTGAAGCAAACACCCTAGAAGAGGATTCTGGGAACCCTGACCGGTCTTCTTGCTCTTTTACTTGCTGACCACGAGATGAGCCTTTGGTTCCACACACGCTCCTCACTGTGGCCATGTGGCACACTCACCAGAGGCCCAACGCAGTGGGGCCACCCAACCTTGGAACCCAACTTTCAAAGTTGTGAGTCATTATAAACTTCCTCTCAGGCCAGGGATGTAGCTCAGTGGCCCAGGGCCTCCCTGGCAAGTGCAAGGTGGTGAGTTCCATTACTGGTACACCGCTACCTCACCCCCCCCCCCCCAAAAAAAAAACACAAAAAGAAAAAGGGAAAAAACTTTCTCTCTTTGTATGTTCAAAATCTTCAGTATTTCATTACAGTAACAGGAAGCTGACACACTTATCTAACATCCTTGCTTTTTTTCCTCACGTAACTTTTAGTCCTCTGTATCTCTTTACTGTTTGATACTGATTTTCATTACCCTGGCTAAAGTTTGCCTTCATTCTTCACGCCTTACCCTGCATTACTTCCCTCTTGTCTACCAATCCTTTAAGGCCTTGCTTAGGCCTCACGATTCCTGTGAGGCTGTTGAGGTTCATTGCTGTGGTTGGGGCACTGGTTGAATGTGTTTTCAAAGGCTCATGCGCTGGAGCTTGAGCTCTGGTGAGGCAGTGCTGAAAGGGTGGATGGTTTAAGAGTTGGGGCCTGATGAGCTCAGAGGGTCATCCTTTCAGAAGACACTGATGCTGGTGTTTTTGAGTAAGTTCTTTTGAGAGTGGGTTGGTATAAATCTGTATGTACTTAGCTGCTTCTGCATGTGGTGAGCTCTCTTTCTGTTTTTGAGCCACCTTGTGACACAACCAGAAAGGTTCTTGCTGGTATTTCAGGCTACGCAGATCGATTTACAGAGCTAAATAAGCTTCTTTTCTTTATAAAGTATCCAACTGCAGGTATTTTCTTATAGCAACAGAAAATTCTGTGGTATAGTCGTTTTCAGATGGAATTAACATTTCTCTGATTTGTGTTGTTTCTCTGTCTCATACTTATTCATGTAATTTGCATGCAGTTCTCTGAACTTGGAATCATGTGCGTACATATCTTTCTTATACTTAAGAGGCTATGAACTTACTGTGTATTGGACCCACTGTATCTTTTGTCTTTATATTTAAAGATAGACCTTTATCTAGGCCATACATCTGTCAATGTTTTTTAAAGTGAATAGAATCAAAATTGGCTGCGTGTCTGGTACACTTCGGTAGTTCTGAGGAATTTGTGGTATTTGCAGCATACTATGTGTACCCTATGGTATTGCATTCTTTGGTGTTGCCTGAGCCAGTATAATTCAAGGCCAATGCGTGGAATATAGACAGCGGTTGGTATGAGAACTACTGCTCTACTTTATATTTACCTGGCCACATCTGATTGCAGCTGGCTTGGGGAACTGCTTTCAGGAATGTGTAAGGTTTGTTGTTAGTCACAATTTTTTAAAAAAGCAAACTGTTATATTGATATATAATTTATATATCCTAAACTTTAGGTGGACAATTTGATGGTTTTTGTATATTTGTTCCTTTATTACCTTTACATAATTTAAAAACATTTTTATTGCTTCAGAAGAAAAGCTTGTACCTATCTGTATCACTTCCCCCACCCCCCACCCTCTCGGAGGAAATGTGAACCCTCTAATCTACTGTCTTTCTTTACAGATGTATCTATTTTGAACATTTTGTATCAGTAAAGTCATATTGTATGTGGTCTGTGGTCTTGACTGGCTTCTTTCAGTTAGTGTGATGTGTTTGAAGTTTGTTCTTGTGTTAGAATGTTATTACTAATTTTTATTGCCGAGTAATATTGCCTACATATGGATATACAGCTTTCCCTGTTTACCAACTGATGGACATTTAGGTTGCTTCTATTTTCAGTTGTCCTGAATACTGCTCTAAACATATGCAGAAGTTTTATATGATGTAGTTTTTATTCTTGCATAAGTGTGGAATCACTGGGTCTTGTGACTCTCCATAAAACTAGTGATTTTAGACATCTAGCACTATTTACATTCTTCCCAGCATTGCATGGGGGTTACTTCTTTTTTTATATTCTTGTCAACACTTGTAATTATCAGGCTTTTTATTATAGTCATTCTTACGGGTTTAAAGTGGTGTCTCATTGTGGTTTTGTATTTTCCTGATGACTAATGACAGTGAATGTCTCATGTATTGATTGACCATTCCTATGTTCTCCTTAGAGAAAGGGCTCATTTAAACCTTTTACCCATTTTTAAGTTAACATTTCATTGTTAAACTTTAAGATATTTTGTACATGGTGAATATATATCGCTTATCAGGTGCATGATGTTTTCCTATTCTGTTGTCATTTCACTGTTTTGTTTTAAAGCATAAACATTTTAAATTTCATGAAATTCATTAGTATTTCTTTTCTCATTTATGCTTTTGGCATTGCATAACTAAAATCATTGCATAACTGTGACAAAGCTTCCTGTGCTTGTCTTCTTCCCGTGGACTGTTTCTTCTGTTTGTAGGTAGCCATGGAGTCATTGTAACTTCTTTCATTGCCACCAGATTTGCACAGTGTCAGGACCAGAGTCATGAAGCCAGATCCATAGGTTAGATGGTCATAATTATGTGTATGTGCTTTGAGATGGGGCTCTGGTGGTGCCCGGAAAACACTGGAGGGGGATTTGCTGGACTCTGTTAATAAAGATCTGGTGAATAAACAATTAAAAATGTTGGTAAAATGATGTATAACCAGACTTAGATCTTTTGCTAAGAAACACCATCTAAATTAGCTTGTTCTGAAATCTTTGACTACAGTTTAAACTTGTGTATAATAAGAAATTTAGAAAACAAGATTATTTGGGTAAAACCTAGCAAGGTTGGTTGATAGCTGGGAGATCCATAGTATCCAGATTATGTCTGGCACGTAAAATTTTCAAAAAGCCAGCTAGCTGTAATAGCTTTTCTTCTTTATTTCATGTTAGAATATTGGATGTTTGAGATCTTTTTTTGGTATATTTCCATGCTCTTGCTTTCAGTGCCAGTTTAAGGAATTGCTAATTGTCCATTCTTGCTGGAAAGTACTGATTTCCATTTGAATATAACAGTCTTTTTGCTAAAACTTTCCTATGGTTAATTCGAGCAAATACAGAAGCCTTCTGTTTGTGAACTGAATGTTCAGCCAGCCGTGATGTAGCCACTATTATCAATGAAGCTTATTCATCACTCTGCGCTAGTGCATTGTACAAGGCGTGCTGAGGATCTTGGAGACTTTGAATAGAGCGCTTCTCCTTGCTTACCTCCATGCACTGTTGGTATTAAGTGATTCTGTTGTCTATCTTTTCTAGACTTTGTGGATAATTAGATCTTTTTGTTTTATGTGATTCCCAGTAGTGCTTTGCAGATGCTAGGCATGAATTGAGAGTTAGTTCATTTTCTAAATTAAAAAAGAGCAATTAATGTTGTTCAGAGATAATTTTGTTCTGTTCTTTTATATGCTGATATTATCTTATATCCAGTGTCATTTTACAAAGATACAGCAAATATTATGTTTTTATGAAATGAAGTTGAGGATCTTACGTTAAATCTTAAACTTTTTAATAGTTAATTTTGTATCATTGTCAGACAATTCACAGATTGTTGAATTTCATTTGAATAGATACAGCTGTAGAGACAGGTATAAAAGGGATTATATGACCCAGTGCATAACTAGAATACAGTAGAAGTTGTCAAAACCCATTGTATACTTTGATAAAATTATGTGCTACAAAATGTAGCTGGCACTGATTATGTGATCCTTATAAACTATAATCAACTCATACATCTGACCTGCTCACACAGTAGTATTATTCCCTATGTGTAGATATTGGAGTACAGAATATCTATGATAGAACAGTAATTGTATTTTTTGATTCCTCCATACAGTCTTCTGTTTTTCAGAATAGTCCATGGAAAATGGTGCATGGATTCCATTCACTATTCCTGGTGTTTTCTGTCAACAATCCACGTTTCAGGGACTCAGCCTGTGGTTTCTGTTCTATGGAAATGCAGCTCTCTGGATCTCCGGAGTTACAATAGGTCAGGAACGAGGTGGTTCTGGAGGAGCTCGTTGATTCAACAGTTTTTGCTTGTGGGACTTGTGTTTTCCATGAGGACACTTTAAAAATTAATTCATTTCTTTCAGACAAATACTCCTCCCTTCCTGCTCACTCACACGTGTACCAACCCCCTTTAGAGATTCCCGAGCCCATAGAATTCCTCTGGATTAAAAATGAGTCTTGAGTTGGCACCTACTGTATTAAGTACCTCAGGGTAGCTTAAGCCCAGGACCACCTTGCAGGGGGACTCAGGCGGCTAAAGGCACAGAAAACGCAATTCTAATTTCTGCTTGCGTATCATCCAGTGTCCAAAATAAGGGTGCTGTACACATGGTGTGCACAGTGTGTGGGCTACAACCCTTTTCCATTCTTCCCCATGGATATATGTGAACCTGTTTAAGATTGTAAAAGCCCAAGATCATTGTAGAATTTCACGTTTTATTTTAAGATATTTTTTATGCTTCTCAATCTCTTTGCAACACACCTATAGTACTTACATTTCTGAAATTTGACTAGAACTTATGACTGATAACAGTGTGCATCTCATGTGTTCATTGCCGATTCCTGTGTTTTCCTTGGAGAAATAGCTTATTTAAGCCCTATACCCATTTTTAATTGGATGGTTTCCTTATTGTTAGACGTTGAGATTTCTGCACCTTTCACCGGCAGGCATCGGTCTTGTCTCTCGGTAGCATACTGCACTTGTTCATCCTTCTTGTAATTACTAATCTTCCTTCCTGTGATCAGGTCAGTTACTGGGTTAAGTGAACAGTTCCCTAGCATGCATTCTGATCTGTATTAAACAGCAAGGAAGAAGATAAGACTGTATAACATACAAAACATTTCTGTAAGCCATTCTCCCTTGCCTGTGTTTCTTTGCACAAAACAAGTTCTTTTCATTCCTATGTTGTTCTGGTGTGTTTATAACTGGTCTGTATCCCTCCCTGTCTCCCTCTCACTCCAAACCTACCTCTCCGCTGCTGCAGTCATGTTTGTGAATACAGAAATACATCCTTTTCCTGCTTATAAAAATCTTCGGTAGTTTACTACTATGTTTTGAGTGAAGTCCAAAAGCTATATTATGAAGTCATGGTGGTCTCTTTGAATTCTGTTTGAGTTAACTTTCCGGCCTTTTTCGGTTTATTCCTGTGTATAAATGTCCCATCCACTTATGTGACCTCCAGGCCTCGGCCAGTGCTCTGCTCTGCCCAGGGTGCGTTTCTTCTCCCTGCATTTTGCCCTCTTCCGTGGCCCAGCGCCTTGGTCTTCTGTGGAGCCTCAGTGGACTCTGCCAGCCATCTGTCTTCATCTGGGTTGTGAGTGTCCTGTTACCTAGCAAACAGCGCTTGTGTTTTGTCACTTTACTGCTTTGCTCCTCAGACTTTCTGCATTGATGACTTTGTAAAATATAGCAAGAAATGAAATACAAAAAGATATACTTAATAGATGCTTTAGTTTGAAATTATTAGGTTCAGCAGACCTAAAATTACTGCTAAATTGCTGTAAAATTTTCTAAATGTTTTCAATCATTTTCTATGCTTAGCCATCTTCTCATAGGTCAGCCCTGGTCCGTGGCCACATTTTGAGTAGCACTGCTATGTTACCCTTAGGAGACAATTTGAGAGTCATTTGCTTTCTTTACTGGATAGGGGTTTGTCTTAATAATCTTGTATTTTGTGTGGATATCTTTGGTCCCTGCCTCTTCTCAAAAAACTGGATCTTAGAATAGTGCATGATACACTTGGTAAATGAGGGAGTGAATTAAATATAGCGTTCCCTCTTAATCACAACTGCCTTGCGTTTTAGTTTGCAGAGAATCTTGAATCGAGCTCTACTTTAATGTGAGTGCCTCTTTGAAGTTCACGATGCCCTACTGAAGCCTTGCTAGGGAGGAGGAGGCTTCCTGACTGTCTGCAGTGGGTGTACTTGTGCGGTGAAGCGTCTCAGCACTGAGAAATCCTGTGTACAGGAAGAAGACATTGTCATGTCTTTAGCCCGGGAGATAAAATGGTTCTTTGCTGTAGGAGATGTTTGGACTAGCAGCACCTTTGACACAGTCTTTGTCCCACGGTTGCCTTGAGGAGAATGCTTGCTCCATGACTTTCCTGTTGCTGGTTTTACTGGCAAATCACAGGCACTTGCTGTTCCACCCTCCGATTACACACTCCAGGACTCAGCCCTCCTGTCAGCCCGTCCTCTTTCACATTCCTGAGTTTGCATATCTGTAGAATCTGTGCCTTTTTGAAGATTGTACTGTCAGTTTAGAAGCGGGGAACCTGCTCTATTTCCTGTGACTGTGCAGCAGGAGTTGTGCTCTGGGAGAAAGTGTTGGCAACCTGAATCCCAGCCCAGACTTTGCTGATAATTGATTGCAGACTCTGGGACAGCCATATTCTTTTTCTAAGTTGTGTCTTCATTTGAAATCTAGACTAAGTTATTTCCAGGATTACTGATACTGGGGACTTAACTCGGGGCACTGTACCACTGAGCTACATTCACAGCCTTTTTATTTCCTATTTTGAGTCAAGGTCTGAGTTGCCCAGGCTGGCCTTCACCTTGCAGTCCTCCTGTCTCAGCCTGCGTAGCTGGAATTACCGGTGAGTGCCATAGGACTTCTTTGTAACTCTTCTCTTGGCTCTTTCCCTGTTTACATGCCTTTCTTTTAGTCATTTAACACTATATGATGATCTTTTTAGAATACTGTCCACACACCTTGCCAGTGGTTAGTGTATTATGTTGATGTTTTCATTGAATTTTTTTCTCCCTGGGAAGACTGTAGCATCCACAAACACATTTTACTCATTTTCCTGTTGGCAGTTTTTGGCCCAGGGTCTCAGTTTGTGCTCTGTTAATGTTGGCTCATTTGTTGAGCTGAACTCTGTCCTCAGAGTTTTGTTCAACAACCTGGCTGTCGTAAGAAACCTTGCATTGGTTGCATATTTGGGCCCCTATTACAGAACTGTTTCAAGTTGTAAAAGTCCTAAAAGCCCAGTTACGGTATTGCTGACCTGTCATATGCACTTGTAAGACAGAAGGGACTTGTGGTTATTTATTCAGTATTCTTAGGAAGGTCTCACTGAGTATTTGCTTGATGAAGGATAAGAGGTGGTATTTTTCTGTCTGTGCCTTTTTGGCCTCTGGCAACAGAGAAAAAGACGTGAATTCTCTGTCCACACACTCTGTGCCCTGCAAGGCAGACTGCCAAGATTCTCAGTCACATGCCTGCTGATAGTCGCTGTTACATTTTTTCTTTCCTTGTGTTTTTCAAGGCTACTGTTGTTAGGCTCTCTGCCTGGTTTCCCTGAATTGTAGCTCTCTTATTCTCTGAGTGAAGGACCCCTAACAGTATTTAGCAACTGAAGCAGTCTTTATGGGGGGCTGGGTTACCTCCACCGAGTAAGCCAGACATCTTTTTATTGTGGCTTTCCAACACCAGGGCAGGGCTTCCAGAAATGGAAGGTATTGTACTTGTTTTTGTTCGAGCTCCTGAACTTGAAGTCCTGATTCACCCACTTACGGTCCTCAGTGTCAACATTTTGTGCCAGTGTCCCCAAGCCTAGGGTGTGTGTGAGAGGCAGTCAGTCCTTCCTCATTTCATGGGGTAGAAGTGCCCTCATTCTCTGGGATAAGCACAACAAATAACTCTTACACTTAAGTGGACTTACTTTTCTACTTAGATTTTCCATTTTGCATTTCATTTGCAGATGGGAGTCGTGGCCCGCTTTGACATTATTCTTCATTTTGCCAGGGATTTAGCTCAGTGGCTCAAGTGCTTGCCTAATAAGTGCGTGGCTGTGAGTTCAATCCCTGGTACACTCCCCTCCCCTCCTGCCCCAATTGTTCATTTACCAAAATGTTAAAGGTCCATTTGTTGAAGGTTAGTTAGTACTTGGCATTGTAACATTTTTTTCTTAACTGTATATTTATGAGATGGTTTGCAAAGGATGTCTAGTGAAATGAAACTAATTAATGCTTAAATACTTTTGACCCACTAACCTTAACTTTCCTTAACAATGTGTTCTAGGTAATAGCCATGGTCTTGAATGACCCCGTTACCCAGAGTTAACCTACTTTGCTGTGGAATGTGGAGAAAAGAGAAAACCAGGACTGGAAAAGAAGTTGTAAACATTTCTTTTCTAATTCTTTGTTCTGTTGAATTTCTGCATTCCTGCCTTTAAGTGAGAAACACTTTGAGTTCATGTAAAAGCTGTCCTTCAGTGTTGACCCATTCAATTCCCAGTCATGTAACCCTGAGAGTTTTCTGTTTTCTGTAAGCTGTGGTTTCCTTCTTGGAGGGATACTGCCACTACTTAACTTAATGGCTACTTTAAATATTAAATAGCATGGTGGAAGTGTGTACTTGGCATGGCGTACTGCTAACCTGGGAAGACCTCTGGGAAGCCTCCTTTCTGCTTTCTGGTAAAATTGAGCATTATTCATATTACTTATTATAAATTGATTACTTGTGCCCATGTTGAAAACTCAAAGAAAATGTTACAAATAGCATAAAGTAAAAGTTGTACTTGATGAATGAAATGCAGTTTAATTCAATGAGCATTTATTGCACACCAGGCACTGCTGGTGGAGTAGATCACTTCCCTGGCCAGTTTACCATCTGATGAGTAAGACAGGTCTGTAAGCAGACCTGGGGGTGTGCTGCCGCCACAGAGGCATGACTGGGTTACTTTGCAGAGACAGTGTATCACACCTGATCTTGTGAAGCAGGAGAGGAGGTGTGAGGGGTGGCAAAAAGTCAGGTAGGGGTTCCTGAAGCACTGGACTTTTGAGTCAGTTGCGGCCCATTACAGAGGAAGGCACATTCCAGGCAGAGACAAGTGTATCAGACTTGATTTTTAAAAGCATAAAGTAGCTTTGCATGTTCACCTGCAAGTTGTTCAGGCTTGCGTAATTGCGGAGTGCAGTGTGAGGTGGCTCCAGGTGGAAGATGAAGCTGTTTGTGGCCACCCCTGGAAGGAAGGCTTTTGTCTTGCTAAGAAACTTGATTTATGTCCTATTGAGAATGGAGGGCATTCATTCCAAGGCTCTCTACTCTGTTGTGACATGATCAAATTTCCATTTTATAAGAACCACTCTTGTGCTGGTGCGCAGTGTATTGGAGGGGACAAGCTGAGGAGGAGGAGATATGTTAAGGAGCTGGGATTGGGTTTAAGAGAAGGGAGGATGGGGCTGAACTGAGCACGAATGGCAGAAAGGATTCATAGGAGGAGGGCAGGTGGGAGTAATTTTACAGGTACGGTGTATGAGAGCCTCACTGTGAAGGATGAAATTGTGAACAGCATAAGTTCTTGTTTGGGGAGCTTTGAATTAGAATGCTAAGTGAAGGAGAATCAGATTTGGGGGAAACACAATAAGTTGCGTTTCAGACAAATTGAATTTGTTCTACTGTGAGATGCAATCCAAAGGAAGGGATCGTAGGCAGGCAGCTTGATACATGGATCTGGGGTTTAACAGGGGTCAGAGCCAGAGATGCAACTTTTTAATTTAATTTAAATTGATAATAATGATGTTAGAAACAACAAAATGGGTCCTCTGTCCATATACTGTGAAAGACACACAGATTTATATTGCAGATGAAGCTGTCTTCAAAATTGTCCATTAGATCCTCCCCCACTTTCCTCCCATTTCTGCTCATTAATGGAGGTAGAATGTTGTTATCTTCCTTTTCTCCCTTGATTCCCATAATGTCTTTTGGTTTGCAACATAGTTTTGAAATTAAATGATTGAACTTTGAAGGGTGTTAAATTGTAATGTGATATTTTATATGACACCAAGCCCCGTTCCAGTGTGACTAAGCATATCTTCTGGTGACTTGGGGAGTAAGCCAGAGTAATTTATTGTCATCGTCATCACCATCAGAAATAATTTTTTTTTTGGTCTTTTTACTTTTTATCGGTACCGGGGATCGAACTCACGACTGCCTGCTTGCAAGGCAGGCGCTTATGCCACTGAGCTAAATCCCCAGCCCCAGAAATAATTTGTTAGCATAGAGAAAATCATTGGAGAAATAAGGGTTTATTCCCTAAATGTAAAATGGAATTGATGTAAATCCTCAGCTGCGGTGGTTTTTATCTTTTCACCTGGCTCGCCCTGCCTTCTCTCCCCTGGAGGGTCTGTGGTTTTAGATTAGACTCAGTGTGTCCCTGAGTGACACCCTCCAGTCAGTCACTCTGAGATCTGGCGGTTGTACAATGCAGCTGTGTGGATGCATCACACTGAGAAATGGGGAGGAGATAGAGAGCTAGAAGCCATGTCAAAGGACTGAACCTTGTTCCTGGTGTGAGAAAGACCGTAGCAGCAGATGCTGAGGCAACATAAAATTGTAAGAATTCACTACAGTGAAGGAAGTAGTTAGGACTGGACCCCCATAATTATGTCAGATGATGACTGGGAGAAACCTGGTGAGTGACAACATATTGTCACCCATTGCTCCAATAGTTTCTCTGCTTCCCTTGTACTATACAACGTGGTAATTGGTTTTCATTCTCTACAAGTGAGTTTTCAAGTATCTTTTAAACGCTTGGCCAGAAAAATGGTGCTTCTCAAAAAAGTTTTCAGTATCATTTTTCTCTTTTCCAGTTTTAATTATTCATACATTTCTCATATTGACCCATGAAGATGAGCAAAGAAATAACAAAATTAAGTATAAGAAAAACCTAAATCAGGTATTATGGTGACTTACTTAGAGTATAAGCCAAATCAGCTTCACTTGTTAATACAGGTTGAGATGTGAAAAAAAATTCATTCATAGCATTATTGGGTCATTGGCCACATATCCCGTGTGTGCACTTCATGAGAAAATGATAGGATGGAAAAAACTAACGTTATCCAACTTTTTTTTAATGATTAGTGTCCCATTTCTACAACAGAAAAAATAATATAATTCAGTATCTTTTTTTTAATGGAGGAGGGTGACAGGAAGTTTACTTCTTAGACAAACTCAACACCACCTTTGTAGGATGCGATTATGAAAAGTAATTTCTGATACTGAGGTGCAGGTTGTACACTGGAGTAGGGTGGGGGGTTGGAGAGACTCACATCATTTGGGTTTCTCCTCTGGTTCATTGCAGAGGGCTGTGGTAGTAGAAACTTGGATGCATAGTAACAATTTGGGTAGAGATTGCATTGGAACTGAAATAAGAGGCTTCTCATTTGGGGAAAGGAGAGTTCCCTGTATCTACTTTCCAGAATATTTTCTGTCTTCACACTGGAATGAAAAGTCTCTCTCTAGTTTTCCTCTTGGCGGGAGTTTTGCTCTTGTTTATGGCACCCACTTTCTGTGGTGACTTCTTGGAGCCCCTGATCGTGGCTGCAGTGGTGGAGGTGCTGCGTGCAACTGGGGAGGAGGTGAGGACCGCCTTGGGCTCTTTAGTGATGATGGCAGGTTCATAGTCAGGCGTCAGCGACCTTATCTAATAGTACAGACATAACAACAGCATGAGAGGAATAGAAAAGATAGTTTCAAGGTTTGTGCCTCTTGCTACTAATGTGTACACACACACACACACACACACACACACAACCATGACCATGCACATGAGTTAGGAAAACAACTTAATTTTTAAAGGGAAGATGACTACATTTTTAGATCTCGAATTTGCATTGGTGGTGAATATTAGAATGGTGGCTGGAAGCCTGACATTCCATGTTTGGTGAAATTCTGGAGTTCACAATGTGTTAGGCAGATTTTTTTTTGTTGCTGGGTCCAAATAACCTCCCCAGTTTTACATTTGATAGGGCACATTTTGAAATTATAATACAAGTCTGTAGAAATAGGTGATTTATTTTGTAAACTCCTAAGGAGCAACTGTGAATGGTATTTCCCTCCCCCTTTTTGGTTCAGCAGGGTTACAAATTTGTAACATAAAGCCACATGAAATGGGGGAATGCTTTTTTTTTTCAAGGAAACATTATTGAAAGAAATAAATTGTGATAACATTTAAAGATATATTTGGCTTTGTGAACAAATGATTTAATTTTAACTTTTTTTTTCTAAGGCAAAGATTCTTCAATAAAAGGCAAGAGAGTTTATTTTCTGTGGAACTTAATCTGTAGCCATCTGCTGCTGTATCTCATTATGTTCTTCATGTAATTAGAGCAATTAGGATGAGGCTTGTGCCATATATCGGTCTTAGAAGGAGGACTGAGCTATTTCTAGGCTTGTTTTGAGAGATTGGTGATTAGTAACCTAATCTTTTAGGTAAACTGATAGAAACCAAGAAGCCTGTAAACTGGGAAAAGAGACAGCATTGTTGTTGTTGTTGTCGTCATTGTTATTACTTATTATGTTTTTTTCTTATCAGCATGGTAACTAGACTTCCTGATGAGCATGTTTTTAATGAGATAAAGTTAAAAGGTGGTAGAGAAGCCAGATTGTAGAAAGAGACGGGGAATAAGCTCTGGGGTGCAGTGATAATGTGGGAACCAGTATAGACCGGAGAAAGGGGGGCGGGATTGAAAGGACAAGATGAAATCAGAGATGTGCAGAGTTCGCTTTGGGGAAGCCAGGCACACGATTGACTTTTGTAGTAAAGAAAGACATGAGATTAGGTACTGTGAGCACTGTGGGATGCCTGGGGTGGGTTTCCCAGCTGCTCTGTGCTCACCTGGGGTTGATAGCCATTGCACATCTTGGGCAAAGCTTCCTAGGCCTGACAGTCCTTCCTTCCTCAGTGTCCCCTTCATTGCCATGGTGATTTGCATCACAGATACTTTCCTTCAGCTGACCTTTCTGGGTCATTGTCTACCCCAAGGGAACTTAGCTGTGACCACACAATGCATTTTTATGAAATACTTACCTATCATTGGATCCCTTGCATTTAAATGCCTTTATCAATGGTCCATATTGTCCACAATGTCACATTTCTTATCCTGTTTTAAGGTGACCCGGAAGAGGCAGACTCATTTTACGTCTATAGCTCTTCTGAAGGAGCCCTCCAGCTGGTCTGGCGTCTTCCATTTTGAAACTTGCTGTGTTCAGCTCTGTTTCTCTGGGTCCTTGCTGTTGTCTAAAATTTCTTTTGGTTCTCTTCAAAGTCTGTCTGGGTACCTTACTGTCCTAATTGTATCCTACCATTTATTATCTCTCGTTTTTTTACTTAGCAGTCCAGTCCAGTAGATTGGGGCTGGAAAGTCTGTGGTGCGCACTGAAGCACAGGCCATTAGAAGTAAAAGGAACATTAGTCAGGATGGCCCACTTCGTTTGGAATTACAAGTTGCTGTGATACCAGCTCTTCAAGAACTCCGAGAAGTCAGCATAGAGAAATGACTTGAGTCTTTCTTCCATTCCTTTGTTTAATCTTTTCCCATAGTCTAGTGTCACCATATTCCAGGGCATGACATTCCTGAAACACGCTTGACACAGAAAGGCATTTTCTTCACGTTGAGAGAGGACTTATCCTGACGCACCAAGTACATTTTGCTTTTGGGTGCATGCCCAGTGTCTTATACACAGAATGGTTAATTCTAGTGCTGTCTGTGCCCCCCTCTATTCATATCAGGACTCATTTATGTGTGCC